ATGACCTCTTTTCACTCTTCTAATGACTTCATTGGCTTCTTTATAGCTTTGTGCGTACACATCATTTCGGCGATTAAATTTTTCTTCAATCGCAAAAAGTTTCTCATCGCTAAACAAAAAAAAATACACCTATTATTTAATCTACTTTCAGTATGATTGCAATATTTTAAATTTTTATCAAAAGCTGTACATATTCCTAGCCTTATATGCGGCCTTGGTTCTAAGAAGCTGCTTAATAATTTCTAAAAAAAAATATTATTTTCTATCAAGGGAAGGCTACGGATGTGTTTTTACAAATTTAAACATTAATTTATCATATGTCTATTTTAGGCCAAAGGTCACCAAATAAAAAAACCCCAAAAAACAAAAAAAACACAGTTTTTTTATCTCCTGTATGCTTTATTCAACGTTTCAGCTTCAGGAGCCACTTTCAAGAACCTGCAAAACATGCACCGCGCCATAAAATTTTTAAAATTTATCATTGCCATATGATTCGTCCTAATTCATTCTTTTATTTCAAAGAATGTCGTTTTGTGTTTCTCTATTTGCAGACGGTATCAAGAAATTATTGTTCTTTAATAGGGCATTCATACAGGATTCTTATTATTACTATTAAAAATTAATATTTTTTTAAATATTCATATAGTATTAACACGGGCGTTCGCCCCAATGCGTTCTAGAAGACAAGAAAACAATATTTTAAATAATTTCAACAATATTATTTAAATTATTATTATCAGTCCGTCGGCTACACACAAACTGGACGTCGATTGGAACAAACCAGAAGACAGCAGTGGCATAGAGAGAGAGGCAAGAAATCAACAGGCATGAGACTGGCCCCTTCTAATATTGTATGTTACAATTACCTACTTAACTAACCCTACAAAATTAATTGTCAGGGATTTCAATTGGAAATAATATTTAAGAAATTAACAAAGTAACAAGTAGCATCATTCACAGATATTCCTACATCCAAATTTTTTTTTTATTTTACAAGAAAAGGGCTTCCGGTTATATAGCATATATCGGACCCCCCAATATTGTACATCAATCATAGAAGTTTTTATTGCCAACCCCTGAAGTAATAATAAATGTTCCTAGGTACACTCCTCTATCATATCATCAACAATCATCGTCCTTCCTACGCCTACAATCTTCTCCAATTCAAGTCCTCAATCCACTCCCTCTCCACAAGATCTCGACCTTCCGACCTTTACATTCCTTCTCACAGATCTGCCTCCTTCCAAAACTCCTTTATTGCTCGCTCTGTTAATTTTTGGAATTCCCTTCCTATCAAAATCCGACATTCTTTATCCCTATCTACAATCAAAACCCTCCTATTCCAATTCCTGTTACAAAAACAGTCAGATACCAGCTAACAGAAAAACAGATTTTACTGTTAAGAAGAATTTACATTTATTTTTTTTTTTTTTTGTATTTTTTCTAAAAGGGTTTATTTATATTTTACCGTTGTACATAGTTTTAAGTATCTTAGTATGGTTTCGAGAGTTTTGTATATAGATTATTTTATTTTATTTTGTATATATTATGTATAACTAATTTTTTTTTTGTTTTTTTACTGATTTATCTTTATCTTTACTTTTTATGTTTGTTTTTATCTGGCCAGATGTCAAATTTTAATTTCTGTACTTTTTTGTTATTCTGAAGGGACTTCGTCCCAGAATAAAATTATTTTCTATTCTATTCTATTCTAATATGTCTTTTCTCCTATTTTTATAGATTGGGTTTTAGGTACAAAATTATTCACGAAATCGTAAATATTAAGGTTGTTATGTTTTTAAAAAATATTAGACTAACATGACGCACTCACAATATCCTTGTTCGGGAGATGATTTCTTCGTTAGTGACTCCCCTAAGGCATAAATCCTTCTTATCCGAGAGTACCTTATAAACGACATGATATCCTCAAGAGAGAGGAGAGTCTCCGCCCATGAGTCGCCGGCACTTGACAGGTGACCGAAGGAATGGAAGATATAACACAGAAGGAACAACTACTTTACCAGAGCTCTTCATATAAGTGTCAAAACCACTCCCGCCTATCTTGTCCCTCGTCGATCCCAACGGAATATTTTTACTCACTAAATATAAACGTTATAAAAATTCATATCTTTAAAATAAACTCGTAAGGTAAGCTTATAATAATTTTAAAAAAATTAAAATTTGTTATACTACGGCTAAATTAACTTTCATGCCTATATAATCAGAATACGAAACAGCAAATTTGCAGGAACAATATTATATAATATGTATAATAAATTTTATCATCTTACATGTAAAGCTCAGCCACACCATACAACCAGCATACCTTATCATGTTCAAAAAATATTAAGTTAAGATATTTTAAACATTAAGATAATTAAGTTTCACATTGCCAATGATTATAGTTTTTTAAAGTATATATAAATAAAACTGTACTCAAATGTGACTTTCAAAGAAGCTTTCTATCATGTAATAAGCATTAACATGAAGATTTGCTAGTGTGGCCGAAAATTGGTCTTGGTTTTGCACTTTGCAAGACCAAGACCAAGACCAGGACTGTTAAAAAAATCGATTTTATAAATAAAAATTAAGACTAAATAGTTACTAATACTCAATCATCTTAGTTATCATACGTTAATAATTGGTATAACCAATATACTTTTGCACTTAACTCTTCTAATTTTGCATTCGAGCTTAGGTAGGTTTCTCCTATCTAAAAGATTACAGTAATATCTCTCTAGTAATAAGCTAATACGTAACTGAAAGACTGTTGCGAGACTCTTGGGCAAGACAAAGACCATGACCAAGACTGAGTTTGCAAGACCAAGACTCGTCTCGGTCTCGCACTCGGGCAACACTAACAATGTCCAAGTATATGATTCAATCTCATGCAATATTTTACCACGATTTCATAAAATCGAAAGAAAAAATCTGGTATGTCCACTCACACGACTTTCCTACCTATTTCGGAAAATTTTTTATATCTTTACATATGTCCGTCAAGAAACAAAAAAAATTGAATTTGATCTATTTTCCTGAAAATTTATCAAAGAAAATCTTTGAGTACGATTACTTTGATAAAATAAAGCAATGTAAACCGACTTGTGGTAGATCAGTGTGAACATTTTAACACCCTCTAATATTGCTAATCAAAAACTTTTTGTCATAGCCTAATATGTTCACACAATAATTTCTGTTAAAAGTGTAGGAAATAGTGAAGCTTGTGTTATACGGGCAACAGATTTTCTTACTTTCTTTCTTTCAATAGAATATTTACTTAGCTAGTTAGGCCAAAAAAAAAAACATTTTGTTTTTCTTAATACCTTTTATTTCCTGGATTCTCTTGGGAATTGAGTACATGCACGAAAATTTATTGGACAATTATTAGAAAATTATAAGAAAGTTTCATCAAAATGGTTAGAACGATTTTTGCGCTACAGTCTATAGAAACATATTTTCGCTTATTGCGCAGCCAATAGGGAGCATTAAATTTTTGTCACAGGCATCGGTAGTCAAAACCTTACAAATTTAAAAAAATAAGCAACTCCTGTCAAATAATTGACAATAAACAACTGTTATGATGCCTACTTCGCAGTGTGATCAAGAGATCTTGATTCACCGATCAAGTCATTTTAAGTCAAGAGTCTTCTTCAGCAGCTTGGAGATGTTATAGGCGACAATTGTGATAGTTTAGTTCTCTCTTTTTCGAGATATCCTGGGAGCACGAGGTTTTCTTACCAGACAAGATCACATTTCACTCCCTCTTCATCAGGGACTTGCCTGCAGGATGGTTGGCATTCTTTTGCTTCAATTTTCCACTCAGTTTTTTATGGGATAGGGGATTATCAGCCCTATACCCAAACCCCAACCTGGAGGACTAAGAGAACTATGGTTTAAGACACAGTCGTCGCTCACCTCCCTATGATTCTCAGGATGGGGACGTTACCGTGTCCATTCGGGAATCGAATTCGCGCCGTAGTGGTCTAATTAGTCGAGGAGGTCCTGCACTTAATTATTTTTATTTTAGAATTATTTTATTTATTTTGTGTGTGTGTTATTAATTCCCGCGAACGGGATCTGGACACCTGATACATAAGGAAGCAACAAAAAGACAAATTAATATATACCACACATTTTTCAGACGTCATAAATGAATTAAAAATTTCTGTGAAGACCAAATGGCAAGAAATTGATGAAAAATAGGAAAAAGGGATATTTTATAAATCTCACTGCCCGATTGTAACAATGGAACCCTAGTTCGGTAATTGAAAAGCTTCTAGAACTTAGAATAGAACAAAAAGCAGATTAAGAATTAATCATGCTATCTCAGGTACTTGCCTATATACAAGTAATCCTAAGATTTTATTTTTATTTCTCTTAGTGTTTGTATACCTTTATTTGAATCATTGTAGACATTATTAAATTTTGTATTAAGTTATTTTTTTATTAGTTAGCCTATTGTTTATAAATTATGTGTAGTTATGTGTATATAAATATGTACTTTCTTTTTGTTGTTGATTTTCGTCACAATAATAAGTAATTTTGAGAACGACCAGAGGTATATATTAAATATGATGCAGAAAGATATCATTTTATCAATAAAATTAAAACCTCTGTTCTGGAAGCGTTATCTTGCTTCGTAAACTCCATAGGTATTAAATTATATAAAAAAAAGTTGTTAGTTAGTGATGCAGCTAAATGATCATTTAGAACAATTAATATTTAAAATTTTGGCTTCGTCGTAAACCAACGACTGCCTGTCCTACAGTTTCCTTTAACAATACTCCACTTATCCCTGTTGAGCAAATCCGATACCTACGACTCCACCTGGACATGCGACTAACCTGGAATCCTCATACTAGACTGAAACAAGAAACCGCTCGACGTTTCCGATTACTTCAGCACTTACTAGACAAACGCTCTAAACTTCCCGTTAATTACAAAACACTCATATACCTGACTATAATAAGACCTATTTGGACTTAAGGAGTTGAGCTATGGGGCTCCACTAAACCATCGAATTCCTATCGCATCCAATCCGTACAATCCGAAATCCTTCGTAAAATACTCAATGCTCCTTACTTTGTCACTAATAAAATTATCCATAAA